AGAGAGAGAGAGAGAGAGAGAGAGAGAGAGAGAGAGAGAGAGAGAGAGAGAGAGAGTTGTTGAGGATTTGTCTGTCTTCACAAGACAGATTGACAGTGAGTGCAGGGGAGGGGGAGGGGGAGGGTATCTCTCACCCAAGCCGTCTCCAGATCTATTTGATGGATGATTGTGTGCTGGGTCGTGCGGGTGGCGGCCTTCAAAAAGCGCCAATGTCAGTTGAAGATAATGACCGTTTCTTGTTGTTTAAGAAAGGGGGTCGAACGTGGAACAGGTTCTGTGTATCGCGTCATCATTTGGACTTGTCCGGACGTGCCTCGCCCAGCACAAAAGGAATGTTTTTTCTTTATAAAAAAAAAAACGGCTCTTGTTGAAAGAAACGCCGCACAACGGATTGGATGTAGTGCTGCAACACGTCGGCAAGGCCCCTTTCTCAACGAAGTGGGCGATGTCAGCTAAGATGCCACCTCCTCCTCCTTCCCAAGCTTGCAGGTGAATATTGGACACGCTTGGGTGTGGGGCAGCTTCGGGATGACAATCTTTTCAGCTCTTGACGCGTAATCGATAAGCATGCCATATTGGTTAAATTGAAAAGCCTATCTATTACTTTGCAGCAGATAGTTATTTTATTCTGTCCGTCTGATTCCATCTAGATTCGAACTCAGGTCTGTAGTTCTTCTCTTTTGTTTTTCTTTTTTTTTTTTTGGGTGGGTGGGGGGGAGGATTGGGGGTACCAACTACTCATCGGTTAGCGGCAGATACTTAACATATTTTCCCATCCATTGATTGTCGTGTATGAATAGAACTGATCTCCTTTTTTTGTTTCAGATGGATACCTCTGTTAATTAGCTAGCGGGATAGGCAGAGAAGTCGACCTCGCATTGGAACCTTGTAGAGGTGGTACCAATGAAACAGAGTGAGAAAAAAAGGAGATTTCTGATGAGCATCTGTCCAACCAAAACTAGGACATTCTGGATTCGGAAATAGAATCCTGTGCCATATAACAATTTCAAGAAACTCTCTCTCTCTCTCTCTCTCTCTCTCTCTCTCTCTCTCTCTCTCTCTCTCTCTCTCTCTCTCTCTCTCTCTCTCTTTGTGTGTGTGTGTGTGTGTGTGTGTGTGTGTGTGTGTAGAGACATACGATCAATCAAGATTTTATGCACCTCTCCACAAACATGTCCGGGCTCAGGCTTTAAATCCAACATCTTTGATACTGGGGCCTCACCCCAGGAAAGGATAAAAGAAAGGGATAATTTTTATTAATTTGCAAAATACCCCCATAAGTTGGGATATATGCCAAAATGCCCCTGAAGGATGTGGGTAGAGCAGAATGCCCTTTTGGGCCGAAATCTTTGTGTTGTGCCCCTGTCAGGCGGGTGTGCAACTTTGCAATCTGGACTGCCCCGTTTGGGCCTTGGCCTTTTGCAATCGCGCCTAGGAAAAGTTGGCAAGTGCTGGGGCGTTTTGCAAAGTTGGATGGTATCCAGTAGGGGTATATGGCACAGATGGGGGTCCAACCGACACTATTGGCATTTCACAAAATGTCCTTTTTTGTGTATTCCGCTCTACCCACATCTTTTAGGGGCATCTTTTGGGGGTATTTGCAAATTATCCCTAAAAGCAAAAGCAATCTGTTTGAGAGAGAACTGGGTTGGCCCTCACAGGAAAATCTGTGAGGTGACCTTCAGGATTACCTTCCCTAGGCAATCATAACTGGACAGAGACAAGAGGGACTGGCCATTCCAAAAAAAAAAAAAGGAAAAAAAGAGGGAGTGGCCCTTTCAAGGAGTGGAATGCTTTATGGTGCCTTTGGCCGGGGACTTCACGCCAGCTACGTTGCCACCGACTCATGGGACCTTTGAGAAGTAGGAACGGACCCAGAGGTAACCTGTTGGCTAGTTAGTGTGCGGTTTGTTTTGTCTTTTAGGGCGAGATCCCACTGGCAAAGAGGGTTGGAATACGTGTCTGAATGTGGACGTGTTTGTGGACAGGTGCAAAAAATTGTGATTGATCTACATTTCTGCATCTGTGTTTGGAACACGTCCAGATTCAGACTCTTATTCCAACCGTCTTTGCGAGTGGGATCTGGCCCTTAGTACCTTTCTCAGCTATCGATGCCGAGCCTAAAACTTCTCTGTGTGCCAAAACAAAACGAACCAGCGTAGGCCTGGTTTTGGCTGGCTCCACCAACCATTTTGCGCCGGTAGTCCTGAGCCTGCCCACCTCCCGTGTTAGCGGGCAGCTCATTTGTTTTTCAAGCAGGGAAAGGTACTGGTGGTTTAAACCACCAGTACTTCCTAAAGTCGCGCCCGTTAACGCTACGCGATTTTAGGAAACGTACGGGCCACTACAGGAGCGCCCAAATTCATCCAACTAGAGACGTTTCTACTCTATTTTTTTCCGCGGCCGATAGCTGGGCCAAGTACTGGTGGTTTAAAGGCCTACTCATGCTAGGACTTTCCAAAACGCATCTGACTGCAATCACTGCTAGACCTGGACGAATCCAACTGCAATCCTGTCCGCAGCAATCGGCGCGCAATCGCTGCTGCTGGCAGAGCAATTGTCTGTACTTGTATGGGCGAATGGACCGGACTGTGTCGAAAAAGGAAAGAATCAAAATGTAGCTCCTCAGTATAGAGTGGAGCTATAGACAACAGCCAATAGGTGAAGAACTGTCTATAGCTCCACTCTATACTGCATGCAGGTTGACACAGGTGCGTACAGATTCTCACAGTGCCCAGATACACCATCAAATTGAGCCGGGTACCATCAGATTGATCCGACAAGTTGGCGTTGAGTAATCAGTGTGTTTCCCAGTTATATGTTTCCCAGCATAGTTCTCCGATGCAGCTCGCATGCTGCCGCGACTTTCGGTGGTCGGCAGCCGGAGCAAAACGGCTGGTGGTGCCCAAAATGAGGGCAGCGCTAGTTTGTTCGTTTTTGGTGCGCAAGGGTGTCTGTCTGGAGACTCGGACAAAAGTGCCTGGAAGTACTGGTGGTTTAAGCCGGCAGTACGATTCCCGGCCATTTCCTTCAACGCGACTGCATGCACGCCGGAACAAGTGCGGCTCTGGACAAACAGATTGGAGGCTTTTTTAGCAAAATCCCTTCGTCTTTTTTTTGTTTGCTTTACTACCTGGGCCTCATTTTCACGTTGTAGGGTACCCGATCTCTTAGGAGGCTGGAACGAAAAGACAGCGGCTGATGAGATTTATCAATGGCGGCCGTCGTCGGGCCCAGCCCCCAAATGTTTAGGAGTAGGATATTTTCCCGTTTCCCAACAGCAGGAAAGGTAGTGGTGGTTTAAACTTTAAACTGCCACTACCTTTCTCGTATGCCGGCCGTGGGGTGGGTCCCACTCGTTTCAGAGGCCGGAAGCCACCGATGAAAAGTATCAGCGGCTGCCCGGTGGCGATTTTTTGGACGAGGTCACCCTCATCAGCTTGATGACGCAGGTGAGGCAGGTGAGAGGGACGTGGCGACCGACGTTGACGAAGACTCTCACCCTCATCAGCTTGATGAGGCAGGCGAGGTGGGCGAGACTCCCACGAGAGGGACGTGGAACTGGGGATGATGGCAACTGCGGCAGCT